CTGATTTGTCTTTGACTATATGGCAAGCCCTAGTAAGAGCACATAATTCTGCAGGTTGTGCTAACTTAAAATGTGGAAGAGCTCCCTTTTCTATTAGTTTATATTAAATTGTTACAACATATTCTACTTGGTATTTTCCTTCTATATTTTTGCCATAAGATCCATCAACAGAAAGTATTAATTCAGGATTATATAATGGAGTTTCACATAAGTTAATGGGAAGAGTCAATAGTTGTGATACCACATTCACAGTTACAGTTTTCTCCATCTTCAGGCAGAGGCAGCAAAGTGGCAGGGTTAAACAGATCAAAATGTCTAAGATGGAGATTTTAATTTTACAAGGTGATAGAAAGATTTGGCAAAATGTTAGTTTACTTGTTGAAAAATGCTGGGTCTGATCAGAATTTAGTAAGCTTTTGACTACATGTTGATCTTAAAGGTAAAGTCGATTTCCCTAATACTAGGTCAGATGAGATTTCTACCAATTTGGCTGCTGTCAACACTGCTTTTAGACAATTTGGATATGCTCTGGCCACAGTATCTAACTGTAGCCTATAATACGCAATGGGTCAATGTCTTCCCCCATGTTCCTAAGTAAGGACTCTCAAGGCCTGATTATCATGTTTGTGAACAAAGTAAAAGGTTTTGAATAATTTGGGAGTCCCTAAAGCTGGAGTTTGTTTTAAGGCCAGTTTTATTTGGTTGAAAGCTTGTTCATGATTATCTTCCCATGGCAAAGGCTCTGAGACAGAGTTTTAAGTTCATGTAAGGGGAATGCTAGCAGACATGAATTTGGGACCCAAGATCTAAAGTATCCTGCAACACTGAAAAACCCTCTTAATTGTCTTTTAGTTGTAGGCCTAGGGAACCCTTAGATTGTTTTTATTCTTTCAGGTAATAGGGAAATTCCCTCTGCAGTCAGTTCATGCCCAAAATAATAGACCATTTCTCTAGAGAAATGAAGTTTTTCCATGGAGGCTTTACAGCCCTACTAAACTAACTGCTGTTAAGAGAAAAAATCAATCTATTTTAGATTCTTCTTTGGTATAATAGCAGATCATCTACATATTGAATAAGAGTGGAATTTCTAGGGAACTGTAAGGTTGACAGGTCTTGATGTAATGCCTGAGATAAGACAGGGCTTCAGCAAACCCCTGTTGCATTACAGTCCAGGTGTACTGTTGGTTTTTCCAGACCAAGACAAAACAAGTACTGGCTCTCCTTACCAACTCAAATACTAAAAAAGGCAAGGCAAAGATCTATCACTGTAGACACATTAGATAGCAAAGTGCTATCATTTGGAATCACAGGAAATCTTGGAATTATAATTTTATTTATTGCACATAAGTCTTGAAGAAATCTCCAACTTTGTTAGGTTTTTTAACTGGTATAGTTGGAGTGTTACAGAGACTAGTACAAAGAACTATAAGTCTTTTTTTTTTTTTTTTTTTACTAAATCCTCTACAACTGGTGAAAGTCCTCGAAGTGCCTCTTAAGTTTAAAGGGTATTGGGACAATTCAGGCAATGGCTTAGGACAGTCTATTTGAATTTATATAGGTGCAGCACTTTTTTTTTTTTTGTCCTTTTTGAGACCAGCCGCACCACGCTCAGCCAGTGAGCGCACCAGTCATCCCTATATAGGATCCGAACCCGCGGCAGAGCGCTGCTGCGCTCCCAGCGCCGCACTCTCCTGAGTGCACCACGGGCTCGGCCCAATAGGTGCAGCACTTTTAATTTTCCCTATGTCAGCTGAGTAAGAAGTCCACAAATATTTGAGTCTTTTAAAAAGCTCAGAATCAACGTAAGTTTGGTTTCAGTATTACCAGTTCCTGCTTGTAGGGAACATGTTCAGAAAGGTCAGGAAACTCTAGGATTGTTTCTCCCTCTGAAGAGAACTTTATGTGTCCTCTCAGTTTAGAAAGCAAATCTCATCCCAGTAAATTTACCGGAATGGTGTCACAATAGGAATGCATGCTTTTCTGAGAATGGTCCAAGAGTTATCAGGACTGGTTCAGAAAAGAAAATTCTCTGAACTTGACTTGAAACCCCCATCATGGAAATATTTTCTTCACTGCAAGAGATGTGTTGATTTATTAGCATGGGGTTTAAAATGAGTAAGATGGCTTTGGTATCTACCAATACCACACATGACTGCCCATTAATCTCTTGGTCTTAGTTTCCCCATATTTAATTAAGGTATTTTATTGATGTAATTTACTGGTGAATCCTTCAGAGCCCCATTAGTGTTGATTACTATCGAAAAGCATGACTGCCCATTAATCTCTTGGTCTTAGTTTCCCCATATTTAATTAAGGTATTTTATTGAAGTAATTTACTGGTGAATCCTTCAGAGCCCCATTAGTGTTGATTACTATCGAAAAGGTCAAACCCTTGGGAATTTATTACAGTGGGGAAACCGTCTAGGCCAAAAAGGGTAGGTCCATTAGAGGACTTACACAAGACAATCATTTTGCCAACTGCCTGACTGTTTACAACGGTGGCAAACACCTTAAGGCACAGGGTTTCTCTCTTTTGGACCTCTCAATTTTGAGTTGTAATATGTACAAGGAGGGCCTCTTGGTCTTTGTTCTTGTAGTTGTTGTAGCTATAAAGACATGAGCTTATTACCCTGTTCATTGTTTTCTTTCAGCATTTAACTTTTTTTCTCTTTTAATTGATTTCTGATTTGTTCTAAATTTCTCTCAAAATGTTCAACTATGGTAACCAATTCAACCATATCAGTGACTTTCTTCCCAATCTTATGCTTTTTAATCAAATCACCAAAGCTCTGGTTCGAACCCATTAATGAATAAGGCCAGAAGAGCCATTTCAGCTCCAGCAGGAAATACTCTCTTCTATATTTTAAGACCAGAATGCTTAACAAATGAGATTTCCAATCTAGCCCTGTAAGCAGAAACTGATCCATCTTTTTCCTGTTTATATGACTGAATAATGGACTAGTCAATCTTTTGTGGGAGGACAATAGAGATAGCTTCTAAAAGTTTTTCAGTGGTTTTTCTGGAATCTTCTGGGCCATCCTTACAAGTAGCTCTTGATGGGTCAGCAATACTTTCCTCAGGCTTATCTCATCCTGCTTTAGTCATCCATGTATGTGTTTCCCCAGGTCCTAATATCGTGTGTATAAACTGATACAAATCAGAAAGTCCACAGTCATAGGCTTCTAGGAAAATTCTAAATTCCTCAGCAAATTTTTGTGACTTTTCCTTGGATTTGGAAATTCTTTTGCTATGGCTCCAAGTTCAGTTTTTGATGGAGTAAAAGTACTTATAAGAGACAACCCTAGCTGTTCTGAGAGCCTAACTTTGTAAGGTATCAGCCTAACTTCCCTTCCCCTCATTATCCTCAGGGTGAAAGGGTAATTGAGCAAAAAGATTAATAGGTTCAGAGCAAGAAGAGAATTGACCAAATGGGTTAGTGGATTTGGAATAATTAGGTCGAAGAGGATAAGAGGAGGAACTGGCCAGAGTCACACCAGTCACCATGTGATTCTTTTTATTTTCATCGTCAATTTATTGCTTAAGCTTTCCATTTATTTGCCTTTAGTAAAGAGTGTTTTAGAGAGGCCAAGTTTGGAATGAGTCAATCTTTCAAAAGCCTCTTAATACCAATAAAAAATGCATCCAGTTGTTTCTGAGGTGTTTGGGATCCCTTCTTCTCTGATGTGCCACATAAATAAACAATCTTATCTAAATGAAAACTCCTTCACTGTGGCCATCATCACTTTAAATCAACTCTGTTAAAGTATGCCCATTTCTCTAGAAAGGTACAGGTTTGGGGTCCAGGATTTCTCAACATAAAATGTGCTGGTGTCCCAGACTCCTTAGATGCAAACAAACCCATAATAACTTGTCCTTCTAAAACTTACCCACCTGAGGCCTCCAACTTGACCCAGCCCAGTTCAACCTGTCAAACACCCAGTTCGACCTTTGGATCCAACAGAAATAAAATTACTCAAATAAACTCAAGAGAGCTCAGGATGCAAATTATGAAGCTCAAAATCCAAGAGGGACCCATCACCTCCAGATGCAGAGAGAAATCAGTGAGAACACAATGGGCTCAGTGGGTACCTTTTGCCTGGTTTCTCAATGCTCCTGAGGGCCATGGGGCTGGTCTCCTTTGAACCTCAATTCTGACACCAAACTTAAAAAAAAATTTGAGGCACAATTTGGTTCTGGAGAAATAAACCACATTTATTGGAAAAATGTGGAAGCAAAATAAATTATTTGACTGATTTGCAATTACAAAATTGCCCCCTTTTAAAGTACATTGTTAGAAAGTCCTTAGTCACATAATCATATGTTAGCTGGCTACCTATTACTGACTGGGGTTAAGTTTTAGTTCTAAGATAAGCATTTATCAGAAATGATCCAAGCTAAGTTTCATCAATTCAAGCATGGTAAAGGCTATTTATAAGGCCTTTGTTTTTGTTTGCTCATAAATTTTTCAAGCCTAGTCTTCATTTAACTTTGCTTTTACACTACTATAAGTGCAGATTTCCTAATATATCTTTCCATCATTCACTGTATAGAGATAAGGACTCTATCACTGTCAAATTGTGTTATTTCATATCCCGAATGATATTTCGTATCTCTAGGTCCATCAAAGATTTATAAAATGTTCTAAATCGTTAAGAAGTCAATAGTGCCTAGTGCACAAGATTAATAATGATTCATGTATCATTATCAATTCAGATCTGAACTTGAACTCTTTCAAAGCTGTCACCTATAACTCATCTCTTTCTTCTCAAAACTACATAAAGCAGAACAGCTTTTAGATTTTGAGATGGTCATCTTAATTCATTATCCCCCTTCTGCTGAAGTTTTAAATAAGAGTAATAAGAAGTAAAAATGTCCCAACAGATTCTAAATCTAAACACAAAGTGGAGTTTGGTTTATATGCTGCAAACGTTAACCTGAAAATGAAGAAGTATGCACAGAAATGAAAAGCATAAATATTCAGAAATGCAAATGATACATACATAGTCATTCACTAACACTGGAGATTCAGTATCAGGACTTCCAGCCAGAGAGCTTTCAGGAGTTTCCTGAGCAGATTTAACTTCTTTGTCTTTAGGCACTACGGTTGCAATTTCAGTTAAAGGTAACGGCAAAGGGTTAGGTTGTTTAGATGAATCAGTAATAGTAAGCGAGTCCTTATTGGCAGCACTATTTAAAGGTTGCTCATTTTCCAAGATATTGAGGTAACAGGGTTTCACAGGAGACTTATCTTGGTCATCTGTCATCAAAAGAAAGTCTTAACATCAGTGTAATGCCATAGTTGTTACATTTCACTCTCTATTACACTACATGATGATAATATGCATGAATGAGAATAATCAAAACATTTAAAACACAAAAGAAGGCTGCCTGGTTAGCTCAGTTGGTAAGAGCACAGTACTGTAACACCAAAGTCAAGGGTTCAGATCCTCTTACTGGCCAACTGCTCAAAAGAAAAAACCCCACAAGAGAAAAAGCAACTACAAATTTTCCTTATCGATTCCTTATCAATGGTTCCAAAATTTATTTGGTCAGATTCATAGATTCAGCTGGGACATTTTAAAAATTATACTCCTGAAATCTACCCAATTTCTAACAAATTAGGATTTTCAGGAGTGAGGCCCAGGAATGGGTATTTTTTTCTTTTTTAAATCCCCTACATTTGTATCTGAAGACACTACTTGCAGATTTTCTGTGCCGGTAAATATTTGTCAACTTTTCTTTAACAGCTGTTTGTGGAAACAAAGCCCTCTATGTTTTCTACAAAGGATTTATGGGGAGAATTAAGATTGCATCAGGTCCAAAGTACCTTCAAACTTAAATAGCTAGGAATTTACATTTTTTAGTTTTTAAGCACATAAAGGGCACTTAAGAAAATCTTAAAATTTAACACATTTAGATTTCTTACCTTTAGTAGTCGGTTCTTGTTCGGATGGGACATTTTTGCTTTCTGCTGTTTTTTCAAAGTCATGTTGTAGAACCTACAGGGAGAAACCTGTTTTAATAGCAGGACCTAAAATACATGGTCACTATAAAGAAGATAGTTACTATCATGTGGTTTTTGTCCAACCCAAGAACTTCATACAAATAGAATTTAAAAATAACTTCTAGGGACGGCCCGGTGGCGCACTGGAGAGTGCGCCGCTTGGGAGTGCGGCGGCGCTCCCGCCGAGGGTTCGGATCCCATGTGGAGACCGGTTCCTGCTCACTGGCTGAGCGCGGTGCGAGCGTAATGCCGAGGGTTCGGATCCCATGTGGAGACCGGTTCCCGCTCACTGGCTGAGCGCGGTGCGAGCGTAACGCCAAGGGTTGCGATCCTGTTGCTGGTCCCTGGTACGGGCGCGACACCGAGGGTTGCGAACCCGTTACCGGTCAGTAAAAAAAAACGTTACCGGTCAGTAAAAAAAAGGACAAAAAGGAAAAAATAAATAAATAAATAAATAATAACTTCTAAAAGTGTTTCAAGAAAGCTTTGGTTGCAATTTCAAGATGGTTAAGAAAAAGGTTTCCTTTTCTTTTTAAACAACCACAAAAGAATACAGAGAATTGGAATAAAACAGATCCCACTATCCTTATTATTTTTTTCAGATTCTATCTTAAGTAAAACTAAAATATGTAGACATTAAGTGAGTGGGAGAGGAACTGAGCACAAGAAGAGAAAGATGAACAAAGTTAAATACCTTTAGCAGGGAGGTAATAAAAACTGAGATTCACCTCATAATTGGAAGTATGAGATCAGATCTAAGAAAGAGTATAGTGATGGGGCAGAAGCTGGTGATGGTTGTTTAGAACTGTTTAAGGAAAATGTGGACAACTAAGTTCCCTCCCCTAACCACAACAGAAAATGGAAGATTATATTTTAGAGAAATTGAACTAGTAAGCCTCAGACCTGGGGGCCACTGCGGGTAGGGGTGAGGTACATAAGACATGGATGAGGACACAATAAAGTGTGACACTGCAAACAGAAGGATTTAGTGCAAGTCTGTGTAATGGTGGTACCCTCAGCCTCATTCCCACACCTAGCTCCAGAATACCAGCAGCCAAGCATATATACCCCCAAGCAGGAAGAGACTGGAGAACCTTTCTTGGGAGAAACTAAACCAACCCAAAGAAAACACCAATAGAGGGGCCGGCCCGTGGCTCACTCGGGAGAGTGCGGTGCTGATAACACCAAGGCCATGGGTTCAGATCCTATATAGGGATGGCCTGTTAGCTCTATGGCTGAGCGTGGTGCTAACACCACAAAGTCAAGGGTTAAGACCCCTTTAGCAGTCATCTTTAAAAAAAAAAGAAAGAAAGAAAGAAAAAGAAAACACCAATAGATACATTTGGGAGAGTTTCCATCAAAAAGTTCAGTGACTACACAAATGCCTTAGGATGATACCCAAAAGAACCCCAACCAGCTTTTTGGTATATCTTTATATACCAAAAATATAATATAATATTGTTTGTTTAAATAATATAATATTGTTTCTTTCTTTAATATAAACAACCAAAGGTTCAGCAGACATTTGGAGAAAGCCTCCAGGTGGATAAGAGAAGATATGGCTTCCATGAAATAACAGGGCACTACAAAAACATAACAATGAAAAGAAAAAGTGTTTAGAAATTAAAAATATAACATGAAATAAAAATAATTTTGTATAAGAGGTAAAGGAAATCTCTTAGAAAGTAAAACAAAAAGATAAACCAACTGGAAAATTTAAAAAAGACAGGAGAAAAATCAGAAGATCAACCCATGAGAACTAATAACATCTGGTAGTATTAATTCCAGGAAAGAGAAAATGGTGTGGAAAAAATACAGAAAAAAAAAAAGAAAATTTACCAAACCAAAAGTAATTATATAGACTAATAACATCTGGTAGTATTAATTCCAGGAAAGAGAAAATGGTGTGGAAAAAATACAGAAAAGAAAAAAGAAAATTTACCAAACCAAAAGTAATTATATAGACTGAAAAGACCCACTGAGTACCCATTATAATATAATGAATGAAAAAAGACTACACTGTAAAATTTCAGAACTGAAGGGAGAAAAGACTTGAGGGGGAAAAAAAGATATACAGTAGTCCCCTTTTGTCTGTGGGGTATATGTTCCAAGAATATATACCCAATGGATGCCTGAAACCCAGATTGTACAGAATCTTACACAGTCATGCACTGCTTCATGATGGGGATTCATTCTGAGAAATGTGTCATTAGGCGATTTCGATTCCACTGTTGTGCAAACACAGACCTAGATGGTATAGCCAACTACACACCTAGGCTCTATGGAATAGCCACATCATACATGTGGTCTTAACCCAAACATTGTTATGCAGCATATGACTGTATATACTATATTTTTCCTATACATACATACCTATGACAAAGTTTAATTTATAAATTAAGCAGAGTAATAGATTGACAATAACTAATAATAAAATTGAAAAATTTTAACAATATACCAGCATTACTCTTGCACTTTGGGGCCATTATTAATTACAATAAAGGTTACTTGAATATAAGTACTGCAATACCACAGCAGCTGATCTGATAACCAAGACAGCTAAAAGTGACTAAACAAGCACAGATACGCTGGACAAGGGGATGATCTACTGGGCGGGTTGGTGCAAGATTTCATCATGCTACTCAAATGTGCACAATTTAAAACTTACGAATAGTTTATTTCTGGAATTTACCATTTTATATTTTTGGACCATTTTACTCCATTTTATATTTTTGGCTGACTGCAGGTAACTGAAACCATGAAAAGCAAAACTACAGGTAAGGGGGTACTACTATCACACAAAAGATAAGAACTAAGAAAGGCAATGAACTTCTCAGCAGCAACACTGGAAACTAGACAAAGCAGTGCCTTCAAGATCTGAGGAAAAACATTTTCAACATGGAAGAATTAAGACTTTTCTCAGACATATAAAGTCTAAAAATATTTATTTTTTATATATCCTTTTTCAGAGAATTACTGGAATTTGTGTTCCACTAAAATGATGCAATGAACAAAGAAAGACAAAGACTGGATTCCAAAAACAGAGATCTGATAAAGAAAAAGGACAAGAAAGATTCCCAAGCTGGTCTATTCAGCAGATCTAAAGAATAGACAAATCTAGAATGGAGCAGGGACAGGGAATGTTCCAGGAACGAGGATAAAAAGAAAAAAAAAAAGGTGACAAATTTAGTTCATGTAGAAAATTCTACTGGGAGATGTATACTGGTATTGGAGGGTATAGCAAAGACTTGGGTATATTTAATTTTCAAAGAAAATTAAGTAAATAAAAAATTAAGGCAATTATTAAATTCAGGAGAAAAATGTACAAGCCTAAGCAACAAAATATTTACTTGGCTCAGCAGTCAATAATATTTATATAGTTTGGTTAAATCTAAATATTTGGTTAAACATAAATTTAACCAAAAGAGAGAGAGAGACACACACACACATATTCAGAAAAATCAAAGTAAAGTAAACAGCAGAAAAAATTGTTCAAAGTATTGCTTCTGGGGCAGGATGAAGTGGAGATAGGAAATGGAATGATTTTATTTTTGTTACATACTATTTTCCATATAACTAGGAGAAAAACTTAAAAGATTAATTAAAAACCCAGATCTTCTAAAGTAATCTCACAGTTTTTAAAACTTGTTACAGAAAACAAAACATTAAAGTGCTTTTAAAGTTAAACATTTTCAATCCAGACACCAAAAAAATAAAGTTAAACATTCCTGAATATAAAACAAACTACTGTTTCAGATTTTAAAAAGCATATTAAAGGGCTTCTATTCATGAAAATGAAGTGGAGGCAAGAAACAGAGCCTGCCAGGGATCCTAGCCTGGAGCCTAGGGCAGCCCCCTCAGCCAAGAGACAGGCAAGAAACAGAGCACACCTGGGGTCCTATAGGGGTAGGGTCAAGGGCAGGCCCCTCCACTGGAAAGCAAGAAACAAAACACCTGGGGTCCGAGGCTGGAGCTGAGGACGGCATCCCCTGCCTGGAAGCAGGCAAGGAGAAACCTAAAAACACCACTTCCATGAGGGTAGTCCACCACAGCCACCACAACAGCTACCACCACAGCCACGGCTGCTGCAAAAATGGCTCAATGCCACAACAGTAGCCACAGCCACCATGCAGGTAGCCCTCCAGGCACTCGACTGCAGTGACACAAAGAGAGTGACCAGTGGAGACCAGAAAAAGAAGAGGATGTCTCTCTCCTCAAAGCCCACTTCAGCATAATAGAAGAAAGAACTGCTCTACCATGTCCCTGCTTTATTTCTGATTTTAATATTTTCATCCTCTCTTTTTTCTTGGTCAGTGTAAATAAAGGTTTGCAAATTTTGTCGATCTTTTTCAAGAAACAACTTTGTTTTGTTGATTTTTCTCTATTGTTAATTCCCTATTCCATATATCTCTGTTGTAATCTTTGTTATTTCCTACTTATATTTTGCTTTGGGTTTAGTTTGCTCTTCTATTTTTTTTAAGATAGAAGTTTATATTACTGATTTGAGATTTTTCTTATTTTTAATATAGGTGTTTACAAGTATAAATTTTCCTCTAAGCAATGCATGAGCCCTGCATCCTATAAATTTTGATACTGTGCTGACTTTTATCTTAAACTACTCTCTAATTTCCCTGTGACTTTTCTTTTTACCCTTTGTTTACTTAGGAGAGTGCTGTTTAATTTCTATAAATTTGTTAATTTTCTAAATTTCCTTTTGTTATTTTGGTCAGAGAATACACTTTCTATGATCTTTGTCTTTTTAAATATATTAAGACTTGTTGTGGGGCCAAAAATAAAATAAAAATAAATTTTAAAAATATATATGTTTCAGCACATATACACACCTCCATTATGTATGCTGATTTATTTATGAATCATATACATACTATGGTATACATTTATTATGCATATAATAATATATAACTAGAAAGTTTTAAAGAAAAAAGTTTAAATATAGAAAAAAAGAAAATGAGAATAGGGAAGCTGTAAATTTTGAC